GGCCTCCTTCGCACCACAGTCAAGCAAGATGCCTCGCAGATGAGCACCGCCTAGTGACGGTGCTCCAGAGATCTCCGACCGGGGGGTTCCCGCCGAGGTGAAGGCTCCCTTGTCGGATATACATCAAGCTCGGCCCCAGCAGGCCGCGACACAGCTGTGAAGACATCGTTTGGGCGACGGAGGGTTCCCACCGAGGTGAAGGCCCGAAGTCGACCCACTGTTTTCTGTATCATTCACCGTTCGGGCGACGGCGGGTTCCCACCGAGGTGAAGGCCCGAAGTCGACCCAGAGTGGAGACAAACAAGGTCTCACAACAACATCGACCATAGCTCACCAAACCTCAAAAGGCGGTTCTCTGACTTCTTCATGCTGTTATGGCATGCGCATGAGTAGCTAGCCCCATCCTGAGCTCAGTATCTGTTGTAGCCCCTCCGGTTCAGCTGTTCCCACTAGTAGTGCCCCGAGACCCCACCACTCGTCACCATGGGCACCTTTGCTGATGTTTTGGCACAACTCAGGCCGAGATCACCAGCTTGGCTCCGAAACTGGCGGCCATGGGGATCCGCGACATGGACCAGCTCAACGGCATGACCCCCGAGCAGATCATGGGCGTTGCCACCACCTACCAGGAATTGGAACGCTTTTGTCGCCTACTTGACAGGCCGATCCCCAGGCGATCCACGATGAGCTCACCCTATCAGCGAGCAGGCCTTCCCACCGTTGGTGCAGCCACCAGAGGATCGATCACCGGTGCTATGGCAGCCGCGCACCCCGATGTCCGTGAAGAAGCTCTACGTAACCTTCAATCAATACGCCAACAATACCCGGAACACCCGGGATTCGCGGTGGAACCTGTGGACGAAGCTGGCTCAGCAATGGGGCCTCCCGCCTCTCCCCATCACGACCGACCTTGTCAACGCCATCGGGGCCAGCTTGAAACAAGGCCGCTATCGTTCATCGCCACAACTCTTCAGCATAGCATGGCCCGCCAGCAGCACATCG